ATTTGCCCTGTTTGGCTCACACAATAAATCACATTGTTGAAGATGCTAGAATTGCGACAGCTATATCTAAGGTTTGTGAAATTGTGCGTTGAATAAAAAAGATACATATTAATGTATTACCTTATACCTTATGGCAATAAATGCATTAAAATATATCCCTGAATTTTATTACAATCCCTTCTTTAAACGGATTTTTTACAGTTAAAAGTCACAGTAATAGTAAATTTCGGTCTTAAAAAACTAATCGAAAATGGATACTTAAAATGTGTTTATACGTAGTCACTCAATATCGAGTCAGTCAATAAAATTTTGAACAGGCAATAGTTTCGATACTTTCAGAATACTGATATGAGTAGTGTTGTAAGACGATTTGGTTACTACTCATTTGAGTACGTATCGATACTTTCTCAGTATCGTATGGTCCCTAGTTAGAATAGCCATGCGAGTCGACCTATTCGAACTGGATAGGCACTACGAGAAGAAGAAACCAATATTCACTTCTGTAGAATTAGACAATAATAATGTAAAGTCCATCGAGTCAACTGTAACTATTGAAGGCTGTTAAATGTTGTAAAATATATATTTTACTTTCAAAATGAAATTAAGTTACATTTTACCTATTTCTTATTCATTCATAACTTATTACAACAAGAATTTTGAAATTATAAAGTGATTATTGGCATCATGCGTTAAACAAGTTCGATATTATGTTTTCTATGGTTTCTATAAATAATATGAAGTTATCACTTCCGTCGAGCGTCGTTAGACGCACACCCTTTTTTTTTATTAAGCCTTTCTAATCTTCAAGATTAATTTCAGATTTACAAAAACTAGACGTATAAATGTTTTTAACAAATATAAGTGTTTTTAAATTCTAAATTTTTAACCTGGAATCTTTGAAGAAATTAACTATACAGGGTGTTCGAAGAATGCGTTAGGAAAATTTTAAGGGTGATTCTACCTACATGCTAAAATAATGGTTAAGTCATGTAACAAAAATTCAAAATATGAATATTTTTAGAGTTATTACTTCAACCCACTTGGATTTAATTGCAATCGCAGCAAATTAAGTTAAATTTGACAATTAATAGTAATTATTGTATTACTGTTAAATTTTGACTAAAGTTCTATGCTGCATTTGAATGTAGCATTTGAATATGCTCGATCCATTTTAATTTAGTGGTTTTAGAGCACAAAAAATTGGTATAAATTGAACATCAAGGGCGGATCCAGCATTCAAGTCAAGGGGGAGGGGGGCATGTAGTAGAAGTTCAGTCTTTTGTTGTCAATGAAATTAGAAAAAATATCGTTAGTCGATATAAACCCAGCACAACGGGGGTCATGACTCGCCCCCCCCCCCACCGAATCCGCCCTTGTTGAACAGTGATACAATAATTACCATAAATTGCCAAATTTGGCACATTTTAGAACCAGATGACCTGATTTGCTGCTATTGTAATTAAATTCATGGATACTGGTTTGAGCGTGATAGAAATTTTGATGTCGATTTGTTCCTAAACAAAGAGGTTTTTTGAGTCGTGCGAAAAGCAAATTTCTTGGCTCATGTTTTCTAATCTTTAAAATCGCACATTACTTTTTGTAATAGATTGCGTGCCAAAACAGATATGCAAAAAAAATAATTTGGGTTTCAAGTAAAGTGTCAACTAGTGGTAAAAGTGGAGAAAGTTATTTTTATCAGAAAGTTGTGAATCACTAAGCTTAAACTCTCTACCGATTTTTAATTTGATTCTCGAAAAAATGTCCAGAATAGGACGAAAAAAAAGAAGGTTGATAAGCTGTAACTCGGAAAATATTCAGATTTAGAATTTTTGTTACATAACTTACTACCATTATTTTAGCATGTAGAATCACCCTTAAAAATTTCCTAACGCATAATGCGAGCACCCTGTATTTTTAGAAGCTTGAATGTTGGGTCCGGCCACCAATGATTCAATATTAAGTTGTAAAAAAAGATTAATTTTTCGAAGATTTTCATTAAGTTTGTTTCTTTTGTCTTTGTATACTTCGAATTTAGAAATGACGTGGTTTAAATTTTCATCGTATTAATTACAGTTACACTTCGCATTTTCGATTATTCCAATTCGAGCAAGCGAAGCAGCTAAATGATAGTGGTGTCTTCTCATACGATTGACAGTTACAATGAATCTGCTAAGTTTACGCTTGAAGTACCAGGGTTTACGACTTTAWGTATATTATGCCAGACCCTGGTCTGGTCTCTTTAAAATATTTGTTTTTAAGCTTTTCGTTTAAATCTGTAAACGAAACTGTGTGCAATGTCAGTTATTCCAGAGCCAGTAGCCTCTTTAGCAAGCTTGTCAACATTCTCATTTGCAACGATTCCCATTTCAACATGTGATGGAATCCAGAAGAAAGTGATGGAGGTTTTGTTAGTATTACCAGTGCAGAATCGATTGAACTTTGATTTCAATATCTGGATTCGGAAGTGAAGACTGAACCAGTTTTATTAATGGTCTTTTTACTGGGAATGTCAAGTTTGCCACCCTGGGAGGCAGAACCAACCTGAGGTAACTCAGTTCATTTACTGCCGCCTGTGAAAATGTTTAGTCCATCCATGTCAGAAAAAATCTAATTAAAAAGTTTCTTTGAGTAAATTACCTTACTGTGTATTAATCAAAATGGAAGTATAGATTGTAGGCCTGGGTAATTCAGTGACTTTTAAGGAGCTGGCGCAGTGCTGCGCAAATGGCTTGGTGCGCCACCTCAACACACCGGCGCAGTAACTCTATTTCGTTCTTTGAAAAATCATACTTAAACGATGAGTTTGACTTTGAAAAACCATACTTAAATGAGGTGACTTTTTTAGTTGTTTGGACAAAGTAGTAAAACATTACTCATAAAAAATGTCAATGACCTTCCTTTTTTTAGATGTTAAAATTCCAGTTTTGGGTCTCGTAAACCTTTAGGACACTTTAATAAATGAGTTATAACTCATCGGTTAATGAGTTATAACTCATCAACTCAGAGAGCGGCAACCACTTAAAAGCGCAACTCAACACAGTGTTACCCAGGACTTATACTCATAGATTGAACTATAATAATGGCAGGAAATACCAGCCTTCTCTCTTTTAATAATTTTGACATTATCAGCAATGAAAGACTACCGAAAAAAGAAAAAAATCATATTCGTTGACTTATAATTAGCTTTTTTGACTATAGTATTTGTTGATATTCTTTCGAGTTAAGGAACCAGAGGTAGAAGATAATTTAGACAAGAAACATTCACATAAGTCCAGTCAAACGAGAACTTGCGATACGTCGCACACTGGAATATTAACAATATAAAACTGATCGAAAATCAAAAAATCAAGTATGCGCTGGATTCTAAAAAAAAACTCGTAATTGACAAGTCGACACTATGTTTGTTTACTCTGCGTTGTCAAGCATTTGATTACTTGGCTCTCATTTTACGTCAAAGATACGACTTCTGAATATACGAAATTCTGATGTTTATGTGTAAATTCATCATTTTGATTCGATACTGTGTTCTTTTTACATGCAAACTGGGCCCGGATATAACATAAATGAAAAAAAATTTACACATTATATTTAGTTTCAAAAAGCGATAATATATTTTTAAAATTAAAAATTAAATTTATTATTGAAATTAAAATTAAAAATAAAACTAAACTTTTAACACCCTGTAACTTGGAAGCTTTGCACTCTCGGTCTTAGGTTTATGGAAACTTTCTGATAAAATGGCGTAAGAAATCACATCCTTAAATATTGCCGCGTCTTTTTTAAACATCCTGATGTATAGTTGAGGGATTGCAGTTTTACAGAGACAACAATGTAGCAGTTTTTTCCATTGCGCAAAAAGGAGCAAAAAGTAGCACCCAGTTTTATAACCATCAAAAAGCTGGATGTTTACTGAGTAATAAGTATATACAGGGTGTTTCGTAAATATGTTAAAATATTCTAACAGCGTGTTCTAGTAATTTAAGAAGGGGGTCTTCCTGAGAATTTTTTTAATTTGATTTTTCGTTGTTGAGTTATTTGATTTCCAAAATGGCGAAAAATATTAGATTTTGTTGTCTTCCTTTAAAACAGTTAAACATAGAAACTTCAATTTTGGTATACATAATAAGCTAATTGAGTGCCATTTTATGATAGTGTTCCGTGGTTCAGTTTGCTTTTATACAGGGTAGAAATGTAGAACCCCTACTTTTGTTTTGTTCAGAACTTTTTTGTGTGGACTTTTCTTCTTTTTCAACATAATTTTGTTAATTACTACAAGCTATTGACCAACTTTTTTATATCTTATTGTTTTTTCTTAAATAGTGCCAATGTACCTATTGTTGAAATTTGGCATTTAGAGGTTTTTGAATTAGAAATTTTACATTTATTTACTTCTAACTTGTAGGGCGCGCCATCAACATGACTTTTTAGAAGTTTTAGAAGAATTCAGTTTTTTTACGGTCCAAAAATTGGCTGCTAATTATACTTTTGACTAAAATATTTTACAAATAAGACATACAGCGTGTTTTTTTAGTGCGGTAGAGTCCATTATTTCCGATGGTGTTGAACTTTTGAAAAACACTTTTATATAAAAGTTGTTGACGCACAAAGTGCGCACATTTTAAAAATATCTTATATGATACAGAGGGTCTCAGAAAAGCGAGACAATATCAAAGTGTATGTTTTTAAATAGAACTACCCATTTTTCATTAGCTCATAGAATGCAGCTTGAAACGCTGCATATGCACCGTAGAATGTTTTTTTCTTACTTGCGACGTTGGCAGATTATCGCCATTTTAGTGAAATTTTTCTTAAAAACATGGTATCTAAAAATTCATTGTAGAAGCAAAAAAAAGCAGTTAAAGATACAAAAAAATACGTCTTTCCAATCACCACAGATCCGTCAAGAATTCCATTCAACCAAAGTACCAATACAGTGTACAGGGTGTTAACAATGTGGACTTCAATCTAAAACTTTTTAACGCAATATAACTTTTGTTTTTCAAATGGAAGTACCCGTATACGTCATTAGATAGACAATTTACAAAGTGACAAATTTGCATTTACACTTTAAGCTGTGAAATCAAATGTTTTCAAATTATAATTTATTTTATTTCAAAATTTCAAAAAGTTGCTACATTTTGTAAGGTGGCTATGGAGGTGAATAAATAAGTGTCACAAACACTCTATATCATATAAGATATTGTTAAAATGTGCACACTTTGTGCGTCAACAACTTTTATATGAAAGTATTTTTCAAAAGTTCAACACCATCGGAAATAATGGACTCTACCGCACTAAAAAACCAACCTATATGTGTTCTCCCTATCTTTCTTTATTTGTCAATGTGTGGGTTCTTTTATAGAAACGCATCAAGATGTGTTGAAAATGAAACGGAAGAATTTCATTTCCAGGTTTAAAAAATTCAAATTAAGCCTTTAAAAGATTTCGTTTCTCTTGATCGGCTTTTTATGGTAATCGTTATTGAAATAACAATAGGAGCATTAAAGTAATGTTAATATTTAAGGTTTTAAAATCTCCCTCTAAGTTTATAGTTTTTTCTTAGTTTAAATCAATCTATTTTAAATGGAAATAATGTTTTTATTTAGTTTTTAAATGCAAGCAATTTAAACATTAAATAAAACCTTATTCTTCAAATATGAAAGTTTGGGCATTTGGGCGCAAAACTATCAACGTAATTATTGGATCAAGTATACTTAGAAATTCCGGTGTACAAAATTGCAAAACATTGCACGCAATCATCTCTGAAATATTTGGCTGTTGCTGAATTTTTCAATAATCCTGTAGAATGCAGATAAACTGTTCATCCTTGAAAATATTAAATGTTTACTTGTTATATGATCCGCTTTTAAGTTAAACGTTTTTAAAAAATATCTGATTAAAAAACAATTTTGATCAGAAATTAATATCAAATACCCCAAGGTTCGTCCATGCAACGATGTAACTATTTTATGACCTCAGCCCCTCCAGATCAAAATCCTGGATTCGCCCCACTGGTGTTCATTTATATTCGTATTGGAATTAGATTTAATAATGGGCAATTTACATCAGTTGTTCATGTTTATGATAACAAATCCCGAAGAACATTTCTAGTTTCTAGGTACTCAAACTCCTTCGAATAATATAAAATAATACAATTAACAATATAGAACCACTGATAACCATTAAGCAAACGGCTTTAACTCAATTTGTACATGTCTCTTACCATAGGATGATTTTGAGCAGTTCTAAGTAGAGAAAGGGGCAGCTGAAACCAATTGAAACATTTTATTCCACACCCACTTTATGTACCCAAATAGAATTTACGTACCATGTCGAACAATCAAGCAAAACAGCAAGAAATTAACCTTTTAATTTGGCCTGTTTAGAAATGCGAATTAAGTTTGTTACACAGGTTGTTTAAGCTATCACCTTCTTTTTTTCTTCTTCTTCACTTACTACTTCACTGTTTGTCATTGACAAGCGTCTAACAAGAACAAGATGTGAGAATTCCCAATGAAATTGTTTCAAGAAACACCCGTGATCGCGTATGCGTGCCCTCTGTCAGTTATTTACGTCCCTAAATTAAAAATAAGGGGAAATTTTGAACAACTAGTTTTAATATAACTTCTACGAATTTCATGTCCGTTTGGGGGGGATCTAGGGATAGAGGCTTTATTCCAAGCAAGGTATATGTTTGCTCAGATATATTAAAAATCACTGAATTTGTAACAGAGACCTTTAATATCATGTAACGCTTCCAAACACAAACCTGATGCTGACCTAGAAAGAAAATGGGAACATGTCGATATATGTACTGACGTTATTACAAGAAAAACACACTCATAAA